ACAAATTAATGGAGTGACTTTTTATATAATAGTTAGGGATGACTAAGGAAGGAGGCTGTTGAAGGGCTGTCTTCAGATTACAGAACACCTGCTCATGTTTGAGCTCCCACATCAGAGACCGGGATTTAGCCAATTTGTAAAGAGATATTGCAATCACAGAAAAAATTTGGTCCCCATTGTCTGTAATGTCTAGTCATATCTAGAGGAGCTCTCTGTTGCCACCTTGAAAAGGGTCTAGAAAGAGTTTTGATAATCTAAAAGGAGATAATGCTTTTTCCTCCTTAAATGGGTCATGCCACAAATAATGGGCTGTGCTCTGGAAAATTTATAATATATCTTCGAAATATTATGTTATTTTTCTGCTAGGGCTGAGAGCAATTAAGTGGAATCCTTTTTATAGGTCTCCTTGTTTAGTGAACAAAGTAAGAGATCATCTACATATTGTATCAGAAGAGAATCACAAAAGAAATTTATGAATCATGTAAATTTGGATTGAGGATCTGGGGAAAATAGGAGGGGGCTTCAGTGAACCACTGAGGTATGAATGTCTAGGTATATTGTTGTTCTACCCAGAGGAAGGCAAAAGGGTATATCCTGATCTACAGTCTACAGGCACACTCAAGAAAGGCCAAACAAAGATCCACAACAGTGAAGCAAATGTTGTTAGGCAGAATGGATGACAAGATGGTAGTTGAGTTAGAAACTAAAACTCACTGGTCTCTGAAACTGGCACTAACAATAGTCTTAAAAGACCCATGCCAGTGTTCTACCCTGTGATTCTCCTTATGACAAACTACACTTTTAGGGAGCATAACACAAAAGAGTAACACAAATGAGGGCAAAAAAGGGATGAAAAGAAGGGCTTGGTTTTGCCAAAAATGTAAACAAATGGTAAAGAATAACAAAACCAGGGTATCAAACACAGAATAAATAGTCAAAGAACTCACCACAAAGAGAGTGGAGTTCAGACCTGGTGCTGACTCGACAACATCACTGTGGACTTGATAAGTGGCAAACAATAAGGCACAAGGGGTTCTGCCCCAGTTGAAGGCTAGGGTCTGTGGTGATAGGCAGAGCAGATCTTATCCTGATGGAATTTCAAAGAAAACTGTGAAATAAATAAAAATCACTCAAATGAGAACAAATGTTATTTATTCAGTTTGCTAAACAAAAGAGTCACCGATCATTTATGTTTGGCAGAGACTAAAATGCAGGTAAAGTGATAGGAAAGCTGTACAGTGGAAAAAGGGAAGGTATTAGGTATGCCTAATTGGAGGCTGTTGGCATGGGGAAATCAGAAACAGGCTAACTAGAAGTGGATCATCCTATGTGATTTGTTAGGAGTGCATATTTGGCTTCCTATGATTGGTTCTAAGTTAGAAATACAAGCAAAAGGGAATCTGGCAATTATTGACCAGGTCCTTACTGATGTTGAAGAGGTTGTGGTTGGACTTCATAGACTGGTTGTTACAGAAGTTATAGTCAAAGTTGTATTTTTACGTATGGCTTGGCAATTGTATATTCACTTTCCCACCACTTACTGAGTTTTTGAAGACAAGATGTTGATCATATTGGTAATGATGTCCACAGTGTTGGTTACTTCTCCAATAAGGGCGTGCATGACCTGAGCATTTTGCCAGACTTTCTAAGCAGTCCAAAAAGTGGCTTATTCAAAGAGATAGTTGGACCATGAATGTTTAGCTGGAATGGTAATAAGTTCTTCTAGGCTTATAACAAATCCTCAGACTTGAACTTGCAGTGATTCTTCAAATCCTAGGGGATAAAGACCAGCAACAGGGCAACCTAGAGTCCTAATAAGTATCTAGGCAGTCAGATTTTAGTTCTCAGTGACTACAAGTCTAGAGGAAGAAATAAAAATAGAATCCTCTTTAAGGCTGTTAGTTTGTAGCCAGATGCTGAAGGAAACTGGAATAATTGAAAATCTAGTAAAGGTTGACAATCTGTGCCAGGTTGACAATCTGTGCCGGGTTAACAATCTGTGCAAGGTAAATACCAAGCTGAAGTTTCCACAATGATAGAGAAAGCTTGGCTACAAAGTTTGCATATTGATGAGTTACTAGCAGTTTACAAAGAAGCACTAAATAGCTCAAGCACAAATAAACAGAATCAGAATCTGATAATCAAGAAAGATGTGCTGTGATTTCCCATGGAAACACAAGTTTTCTTTCTACAGTTACTCCTCCCCTTTTGATCAAGGACAATCTCAAAGAAAGATTATTCTTGATCACAAATTAAAGTTGGTCTTATGAGATTTGACCTTGTTATTTGCATAGGTGCAGCAAGAGTGCAATTTACATATAGATCATATTATAGTTGCTTTGCTGGAAGTTTTCATAAAGAATGTCAAATTGGACTTTTCAAAGCCTCTTGAGGATAAGAAGCCAAGCCAACAACTCACATCAGATTACACATGCAGTACCTATCGATTTGGCAGGCATTCCTTTCTTCATGAGATCCCACAAATATCCTAAGATTCCAGAGCCTGCTGGGAAGTGATATTCCTTGCTCACCTACAAAGCTGCGAACCCTGCAAAACCAGGTTTCCAGCCAGTTTTCACAAGAGGAGCTTTGTAAGCATCGGCCCCATAAGGTCAACCTTAGTTCCTAAAAGTGTCTGGTCATATCTGATCAAATAAACGTCATTCTCAAATGTGACATCCAGGCAAAGCCTTGGTTGTATTACCAATGTTTTTGTGCCCTGTTAACAACGAGGACAGACTCTTATGGAATCTATGCAAATAACCATATTGCCATGAAGATTCAATGAGAGTTTCCAAATTGTGAATGGATGAGTCAGGGAAGAAAAGAAAGAAGTTTCATTTCTGTTTACAAGAAATTAGCATAGTTTATAAAATTGTTTGAGTGATAGCTTAAGAGAAAAAGAAAAGAAATTGTTATTTCCAGAAAATAGAACAATAAAACATCAACAATATTTCAAATAAAAATCATAACCATCTGCTCATTCAGTTCTATAAAATTAACTTTTCTTCCACCTGATCTTGTGTTACTTGTTTCATGAATGCATCTGCTTCTCAATTAGAAGTCTGCAACTCCTGACTCAGTCCAATGGTATGGTTTCATAGTCATTTGAACAATGCCATCAGAAATCTGTTCCCCAGAGTGTATGGCATGATCCTTTTCCACCAGACTGTAAGATTGTTCTTTTTTGCTGAAGATAGAAAACCTTAGCCTATAATTGATTGCAAGGATTTTATGGAAACATCAGTGTAAAACAGAACAAACAAAACTATCAGTAAATGCCAAAAGTCTAAAAATGGCTATCATGTACATATTATTGATAATTTTCTTTATTTATTTTATTTTATTTATTTATTTATTTTTTTTTTTTTTTGAGACGGAATGTTGCTCTATCGCCCAGGCTGGAGTGCAGTGACGCGATCTCAGCTCACTGCAAGCTCCGCCTCCCGGGTTCATGCCATTCTCCTGCCTCAGCCTCCCGAGTAGCTGGGACTACAGGCACCTGCCACCAGGCCCGGCTAAGTTTTTGTATTTTTAGTAGAGACGAGGTTTCACGGTGTTAGCCAGGACGGTCTCGATCTCCTGACCTCGTGATCCGCCCACCTCGGCTTCCCAAAGTGCTGGGATTACAGGCGTGAGCCACCGCGCCCGGCCTGTTGATAATTTTCAAAAGTGAATAATCTGAATAGAGTTCATTATAAGAATAACATAATTGACAAACACATCTGGTTGTTTCTGTTGTACAAAATAAAATAAATTCAATCCAAAAAACATTTTAGACAAAATATCTATAAATACAATGTATTAGCAATATTTTCAAAGAGGTTATATCTAATTTATAAAAATGCTTATATATAACCTTACAAAGAAAACATTTTCATATATAACATAAAAATACTGAAACATTAGATGCCGCAAATACCTAGCACTTCATTAGAATTTACTAAAAATATATCAGTTATCAAGTAGAGTCAGTAAATCTGAAGTAGATTCTGAACATTAGAGTATTAATAAAAATGCAAAGATAAGTGAAGTGAATCCCCAGTGTAAAACTACCAGCCTAGCATATATTGGTTCCAAATAAAAGAAGTAAAGTTTTAACCAAGTTACATTTTGAAAATATAATGAATTATGACTGATAACACTATACTGTTTTTATCTAACATCAAGCAAAGCAACACCAGGAGTCCGATAAATAGAAATATATCATGGACAGTGAAAACATTAACAATTCTGGGGTTTGTGTTGTCATCTCTTACAGCATTTCCTGTTTCCCTGGCAATCCTCAGAACTCAGACAGGAGGGTGGCCCCATCAGTGCATGTTGAAGGGCAAAGGCCTGGTACAGAGAATTATCCATTTCAAGTAGAAGGAAAATGGACAAGTTGTGGTGTTGGGACACATTACAGGATTGCCTGAAGGACAGCAGATTCCATGTTCATCAGTTTGCAAATAATATACAAGGCTGTACTAGTGCTGGTCCTCACTTTAATCTTCTATCTCCAAAACATGGTGGACCAAAGGATCAAGAGAGGCATGTTGAACACCTGGGCAATGTGACTGCTGGAAAAGATGATGCGGCAATGTGTCTATTGAACATTCTGTGATCTCACTGTCAGGAGGCCACTCCATCATTGGCCACACAATGGTGGTCCGTGAAAAACCAGATGACTTGGGCAAAGATGGAAATGAAGAAAGTACAAAGATGGGAAATGCTGGAAGTTATTTGGCTTGTGGTGTACTTGGAAATTCCCAGTAAACGTTCCCTTGGATGTGCCAGTAACACATTTGTTATCCTGCTAGCTGTAGAAATGTAACTTGATAAACATTGAACACTGTAATCTTAAAAGTGTGAAGAAAAAAAAAAAAAAACACATTCACAATTCTCCAGAAACTTCTTATGTAGAATACAGTTTTAAACATGTTTATGGTAATAACATTTTACCCATACAAATGTAACCTGTGCAAATCTAAGCATCTCTTCTGATTGGACAATACTTCCTAGACATCTTGTCAATGATAACGTATCAAATCACCCTAACTATTTCCAACTCTCGTCTTTTCCCACAGTAAAAGAACACATCTTTGCAACTTTCAGAGATCCTCTGGGAAATCTCAAGGGCAATTTTGGGCACTGAGGAGGCTAGGAAGACTGTGCTTGATTGTTAGCTGAAACAACTTTTGGCTATTTTGCACAGGACTAACAGGCCCTCTGCTTTATGTGAATTTCTCACTTTAACTTGTTTGCTCCATTTTGGGTGCAGACCCAGCCCCATGTGCCTGACCACAAACCAACATTTCCTGTCTCAATTCTCCTATTCATATAATGTTTGAGGATGTTTGTTAAGTTTTAAGAATTCCCTCCCCTCCCCCCAGATTTTCGCAGGGTTTTGTTAATTTCCCCTCAACTTCCCACAGGTATCTTAAAAACTTTGCTCACTCATCCCTTCTCTGAATTAGGATTTGAGCATCTTTCTGTTATGCTGTTGCCCCACTCTTACTGCAATACTCCCCTTCTTCAGAAAGTTTTTCTAGACTAATGTCCAGATTAAGCTTCTTTTCTTTGACAATAATGATGCCACGACTTGGACAAAATGCCCATTGCCCCTGGCTCCTGCTTTCTTCACCCAGTGCTGCCTTATTGGACTCCTTGTGCCTCTCCGTGACTGGGGAAATCAGGATCCACAGTGGTAAGTCATGATTTCTAATCCAGTGTTCCAGACATCTGTCTGTTGTAGCACAGTGAGAAGTTGACTTATATTTCTCTCATTTTTGTCATTTTCTTCTGTTTTTCTATCTTTCCCTTCTGCCTTTTTTGAGTGTGGTGAAAGCCCCTCATTCTCTCCTGAGAATCATACCTGAGTTGAAATCCCAAGGCCTCTAGCACTGGCAGGTGTCCCTTCTATTTTCATGAGAAACTGTCAATTTGGCTATTGTTCTCCAGACCCCTCAACTGTGGGGTATGCTCTGTGTTACTATGGTAATAATTCCACCCACTTTCTTCAGAAAAAAAATGGTAATATTTTACAACTTAAATTTCAATGGCCTCTTTGGAGAATGTAGAATTTTTCTAAATTGTCTCATTCTGCAAAGGGTGATTGAATCCTGCACCACCAAGATCTCATCGAAGCAATAGATGCTTTGTTGATGGTGGTGGGCATTTGGTACAAACAGGCAGAAAAAAAAAATGCTCTCTCTCAAAAACTTTTCAGTGACCATTGCTTCTTTCAAAGACAGTCTTCCTTCCCCAACACCTCCTGTGACCTGTGTCTTCCATCACCTATCCCCCAATCTCTCTTTTCTACCATCTTCCATGATCCCTTCAGCTCCCTTTAATTCTTGGATCTTCCTCTTTCAACCCTGTCTCTCCTCCACCTTTCTGTCCACTCCTGCCAGACCTTTCCTCTCCCACTCTGGCCCCTCAATTCCTTATAATCACTTGAGCTTTAAGTCCTGTCCCTTCATAGGAGGCTCTAGAGGAGCCCAGGGGCACTGAGAGCAACAGCCTGAGGCTAAAAAGGCTCACTAGAAACAGGCTGAATGTTTTAACCACTCAGGTGAACTCTGAAGACACCTGATGACTGCTTGGTCTCTCCTCTATGCCTCCCTTAAAATTGAGTCCACAACTTCCCTAGAATTATACACCAGAGCCAAGGGTAGCTTATAGGTCTCCTACACAAATATTGGTGAAGATGCTTCAGTTCTCATATTGAACATGTTACTTCAACTTGTCCATCTACCAAAAGTATCACCCTTATAAAAATATAAAGGCGAGGCAATGATGATACTTTGTTTCTTTGTTTGTTTTTTGAGATGGAGTCTCGCTGTGTCACCAGGCTGGTGTACAGTGGCAGGATCTCGGCTCACTGCAATCTCCACCTCCCAGGTTCAAGTGATTCTCCTGTCGCAGCCTCCAAAGTAGCTGGGATCACAAGTGCATGCCACCATACCCAGCTAATTTTTGTATTTTTAGTAGACAGTGTGTTTCACCGTGTTGGCCAGGATGGTCTCGATCTTCTGATTTCATGATCTGACTGCCTTGGCCTCCCAAAGCGCTGAGATTACAGGCATGAGCCACTGTGCCCAGACAATACTCTGTTTTTTTATATGAATCAGTGAGTTTTGCATTTCTGTGATTATGCCTAAGTCATGGCTAAAATTTAAAAATTAAAGCTGTAAGTTGGCTATGTCTGCCTATATGTTTATGTATGTGTCTTTGTGCATGTGCACATACATTTCGTTTGTGTAATATTTTCCTACCTCCAGATGGTATTACCACATTAAATTATATTACACCTTAAATAAGCTCGTTTTGGGTTGACTTAGAGATGAATGAGAGCCTACATAAGTATTCTTGAACTTCCTTGAAATTAGGATAATCAAATTTCTAACATCATCAGTGTGAAAAAAGTATTTTTATAAAAGCTTAACAAAATGTTAAAAAAAAATACAAGTTCACCAAATTTAGATAAACCTTTGGCCATTGAGAGTAGTTTGATATAATTGATTTAATAAATAAAATAGCTATGTCTTCTGAGTTGTCCACATTATAAAAATCCATTTTTGTTCTACTTGAGTATTTTTTTCCTAAACTTATACAAATATACTGAATCTCTGTGCTTGATAATCTAAATGCATTCTTGGTATACTCTAACTGTATGTTTGATATATTCATGACATATTATGTCTCATGATTATCATGTATTTCTTTTATTTGTATTTTATTTTATTTTATTTTATTTTTTGAGGTGGAGTCTCACTCTGTCGCCCAGGCTGGAGTGCAGTGGCACGATCTCACCTCACTGCAACCTCCACCTGCTAGGCTCAAGGGATTCTCCTGCCTCAGCCTTCCAAGTCGCTGGGACTACAGGCGACTGCCATCACACCCAGCCAATTTTTGTACTTTTAGTAGAGACGGGGTTTTACCATGTTGTCCAGGCTAATCTCCAATTCCTGACCTTGTGCTTGAGATCCGCCTGCCTCGGACTCCCAAAGTGCTGGGATTACAGGCATGAGCCACTGCGCCCAGTTGATCATGTTATATCTGAAAATGTTTTCTCTATAAAAATTATGCCCATCCACTTTCATAAATTTGATGTAATATCCACCCTTTTTTGAAAATAAAATTAATTATTATGTTTACACATATTTTCTCTGAAACTTTCTGTGGCAACTTTAAGTGCCATAATGACAATTAAATTTTTCTGCCAATTGTATTATTTTTATAGCAAACTTTCATCAGATCTTTTACTTTCAAAAATTATCAAAAACATGTTAACCACGGCAATTTTAAGTCTTTTGTCATCTATGGAGGACTTAGTTTCAACAAAAAAGGACTGACTCAGAGATACATGGAAAAGGATTATGCTAGGTACTCTTGTGTAAAAGTTTCTAATTACGTTGTTTAAATAACTTTGGGACCAAAACAATGAACTGAGTCAGGAATTCTAGAACTCTAGTTGAAAAAGAGATGGGTTCATAAGACTACTAATCTGTGATCAAGTGGGACAAGAACTAATTACTTAGGAGTGAATGAACTGATGATGGATAATTATGGGACTTTTTTGGAATAGGGCTATTCCTTTAATGTACTATTTTCCTATTTTCTCTTTTTTTTTTTTTTTTTTTTTTTTTTGAGACAGAGTTTGGCTCCTGTTGCCCAGGCTGGAGTATAATGGCATGGTCTCGGCTCACTGAAACCTCTGCCTCCCAGGTTCAAGCAATTCTCCTGTCTCAGCCTCCTGAGTAGCTGAGATTACAGGGGAGTGCCACTACACCCGGCTATTTTTGTATTTTTAGTAGAGGCAGGGTTTCACCATGTTGGCCAGGCTGGTCTCAATCTCTCAACCTCATGATCCACCCGCCTCGGCCTCCCGAAGTGCTGGGGTAACAGATGTGAGCCACCACGCCCGGCCTAATATTCTATTTTCTGGACATAAGAAAACCCCTCCTCTTTTTTTTAAAGGTATTCATCACTCATAACAATTTCATAGACTATGCTAATTTCTAGTAAACAGAAATGAAACTTCTTTCTTTTCTTCCCTGACTCACCCTTTCAAAATCTGGAAATTCTCATTGAGTCTTCTTATTTTCATGGCAATATGGTTATTTGCATAGATTCCATAAGAGTCTGTCCTCTTTGTTAACAGGGCACAAAAACATTGGTAATACAACCAAGGCTTTGCCTGGATGTCACATTTGAGAATGACGTTTATTTGATCAGATATGACCAGACACTTTTAGGAACTAAGGTTGACCTTATGGGGCCGATGCTTACAAAGCTCCTCTTGTGAAAACTGGCTGGAAACCTGGTTTTGCAGGGTTCGCAGTTTTTTGGTGAGCAAGGAATATCACTTCCCAGCAGGCTCTGGAATCTTAGGATATTTGTGGGATCTCATGAAGAAAGGAATGCCTGCCAAATCGATAGGTACTGCATGTGTAATCTGATGTGAGTTGTTGGCTTGGCTTCTTATCCTCAAGAGGCTTTGAAAAGTCCAACTTGACATTCTTTATGAAAACTTCCAGCAAAGCAACTATAATATGATCTATATGTAAATTGCCACTCTTGCTGCACCTATGCAAATAACCAGGCCGAATCTCATGAGACCAACTTTAATTTGTGATCAAGAATAATCTTTCTTTGAGATTGTCTTTGATCAAAACAGGAGGAGTAACTGTAGAAAGAAAATTTGTGTTTCCATGGGAAATCACAGCACATCTTTCTTGATTATCAGATTCTGATCCTGTTACTTTGTGTTTGAGCTATTTAGTGCCACTTTGTAAACTGCAGGTAACTGATAGTTATGCAGACTCTCTCTTCTCTGGTAGAGATTTAACTGACTTTCTCTCACACTATGGAAAAACTAGTTTTTGTAACTACTAATAAATTGTACTTGAATCTGTTATCTTGCACAAATTGTGCACTTTTACTAAATTTTCAAATCTTCCAATTTTTCTCAATATCTAGTCATAAACCCCTAAAGTAACCTTCCAATGTTTCTCCTTTTTTATTATTTATAGTCACTGAGAAAACCTTACTATCCAGATCCCATTTGAGACCCTAGGTTGCCTTGTGGCTGGCCCCCAGGCTCTGAAGAATTACTGCAAGCTCAAGTCTGATGACTTGTTACAAACCTATGAAGATCCATCATTGCTAGCAGACTATGCATGGTTCTGTTTTTCTCTGGACAAGCCCTGACTGGACCACAAAAAAAGGATGGGGAAATGCTCGGGTCATGCATGTTCTGATAGAAGAGGTAACCCAGACTCTGGACAGCATTACCAAGAGCATCAAAACATTCAAAGATCAATGCTACATGATCAAAAGGGCTCATCCACTAACCTCTTGAAACCTTCTGGAATGGATACCCTTGGGTTCAACTTCTGTCTTTCTCACATTAAGATCTCCTTTTATATTAACATTTCTCTTTTTTCCTTTTAGGCATCCGACTTTTAAGATGCCTGATCTGAAGGACACTAAAACAACTGACCTTTGCCAGCATGCCAAACAGATGGTTTAACTAGTCCTCCAGGAACAACACTGAGCAATCCTGACCTGGGACTATTTAACTCTGCCATCTCCTACTTGAGATTCTCCTTGTCTCTCTGTTCAAGGACACTTTTTCTGAGCCTTTCTTGAACAAGAGTGGAGGATTGATAGGGCGATTAAACTCTGTCCTTGACACAACTT